CGGTAAGTACTAAACAGAAGTTGCGTGACATGACACTTGTGCATTCATAGCTAGGTTAAAATTGAAATCTAGTTTCGTAAGCGCGATGCTAATCGAACATTGTCCTACTCTAACTCTATACCAAAAATCGCTTATAATATTTTCTTTTAATGCAAAATATTCATTTGAACTCGGATGCTGAATTGCAAATTTACCCGAAAAATGGAAAATGATCATGAAATACACTTCAATGTTGTTCTTTTCTTTCTGTTGTTGTATCTCGATAACCTTCACGCTGACACTTGTCACTTCGCAACAAAACATAAAACATAACAATTTGCTTAAACCAGAGTGACGTCACGGAACACGATAAGTGTCGGGTTTGTGTAGACATTCCCTCGCTTCCGTTTCACCATCCGAGGAGGGTACGGCTACACGTAGGCTACACGAGGAACGGAATTTAAAATTTTGATTTGGTCCGTGTTTTACGCAGCTAAAGTTTAAGCAACTTCGATGAACAGACTGAGACATATTTTCCGTGGGAAAAGACGGAGGCGTGATCATGAACCAGGTAATTATAACGGATTGTTCTGTCATGAAACATGTCTGTGGCGGGTTAGAATCCGTTGCAATATTCTACATTATTTATTGCTATGTCTTCCTGAGTCCTTCTTGTGTATTACGCTGCCTATCAAGTGTGCTATCTCTTTAGAGAATACGGCTAGTGGTAATACTTTTAACGGCTAAAGAATCAATGTCTGAGGTTTCTTTGAAAGTTCTCCTCGGTCACGACCATTTAACTGAAAGTAACGTTGGATATAGGCATACAAATTATTATAGGTCTTGAGTGGCATCGATCGAAGTTGTTATGAATCCTTTTCTGTCTGCCGTACAACCAATGCTTTTGATCAAGTGTGCCACGTGGTTTATAAACGTCTGGTTCGTTCAGATTCTAAGGGAGCGTGAGTGAGAGTGAGACGTGATTTATGTTAAACACAGGCAAGAACCAAAACTTTATAACTTTACGCTCAAGTGGGTGTAATTCAAGGTCAAATTCCACGGCTTACTGTATTTTGCGAAGCAAAATCAATCCAAACGAAACGAACTTTTTCAAATGATTTTCAAACGTTCATACGTCGGGGCCATTCGTTAGAGACTCATAATCTAATGTTTGGTAGTGTAATATAAAGCTTGAAATTTTGGATCGCGCATGAAAACGAACGACCGCTGCCATACTTTGTTGACATACTTAATTACAATTGCAAATTGCAATTGCTCATCCGAACCCATCTTGCGGAAGCGAAAAGAGGAAAGAATACTGAGGAACATAATATTTCCCTGAGAAATAAAAGATATTGCTTGCTCAATTAATATCCGGTCATAGTCTCTTGCGTAGACTTTCTCTTA